AATGTGGCTATTTGGGTAATTCCATACGAACTCATTCCTTATTATTTTATGTGGCCTACCATCTCGAATATCGCGATTAAAATTCTCAACGAAAGCAACAGGAAAACTTTAAGGAAAAGTATGTCCCATTGGAATTGCAGTTACGGAGATTTTGCTTGCAAACATTGGGAACCTTGCAATCCTTGAAAACTCCCACGAATGGGAAAATTACAATTTCTGGAACTATTCATCATGAATAATCTTACCATAGAACCGGAGTTCTTCATTGATCATCGTAGTGGAATTTTAACTTTTGAATTTATGCAGCCTTCACCCACTATACTCATATGTTGGAAGGGAAAAAAACAAACTTCTCATTACTGTAAATTGCATTCCTCATCAATACACATTGATAGTTATGCAGTATCTTTGAATAGATGAACTGGACATCTCTTCAAGGAAGTTTTATTTGTTCTCTCCCTTCCTAATAAAACACTTTTAAAGTGACAAATGTGCAAAATTTGCATGTTCAAAATGTTTAGCTTTTCAAGTGGGTGAAAATCGTCATGCAACATATTACTGACAAGGTTTCTCAGGCCTCCATACGATGGCATTGGTATTTTACAATCATCTGAAGGCGAATTTAGAATATGTGACTTAACAAAATTTTTTCAATTCATTGAATAATACAAATTATTGGAGAGATATTCAACCTACCTTTTTTTAATGATATTTCACACGATACTGTCCTCCTCCCATTATATACAAAAAAAAACATACAACCTAAGATGACCAAAAGGTTAAACATTCAAGTTTGAAAATAATTTTTTCCGCGCAGCGAGTAATAACATAACTTATTTTATCGATACACATCGAGGAGTGCACGTAATCATATTCAGAAGTTTGTCTTTTTCTTTACGAAACATGGTTATACGAAAATCTAAATTGCATAAATTTAAATGTTCAAGTCCAATTATTATGTTAATATTCCGTTGAAACTCTGAATTTGTATTAAGTACCTTATTCAAGAGCCGAATAGCTCCGGTTCATGCCATGGTATACTATGAACGAGGAACGATTTCAGAGATGGTAATCTTCCCCCCTCCCCCCCCCTGGGGTTTTACCATTTACGACCAAAGTTTGGAGCGTCTTAACTGTAGTTCGATTTATTGCTGCTTCATTCAAGTTGGGGTTCTAAGACTGATTGCAATTGCTGAGTATTTCCTAGATGATCAGGAGACATTTATTAAGTTCGTGCGGAAGGACTATTTAGACTTATTGATCAAGGACTGATCAAGGATTGATTAAGTCTCCTTACTTGATGTTGATGCATAATTGGAAGTAAATATTTATAGTGAAGATCCGTGTCACCGGAAACATCAGGAACACTCTCTGAACAGCCGCATTCGATCTCCGAAAGTAAGTCAGCAATTTCGCCAACTATAAGATGAATTTGTTGTTGATGCGTGATTACAAAAAAATAAGTTCCAACAAACAGAGCCAATATGTCTCTCTCATGAAATTTACATCTTTTAAACATTGAATGACGAAAGCTTTTACGAGAAATAAAATCCATAAAGTGCAGGCGATGTAGCATCAGCGAAGTTAATCCACGAGGAATTATTGCTCTAAAACGCTGCAGTAATGAGCTGATATGTCTGTCATTTTATTTTGAGATTTACTGAATATGCAAGGAAGATTGTGACGACCACAGGCAGGAATTAAATTCAATATAAGAGCACTTAACGACGCATTGAATTTTTGCCTGGTGATCCTTCTGCATATGACGTCATACGAATATTTTTGGAACAACTTCATTTCGAAAACGAATGCATAAATGCATTACTAATTCTCTATGTTAATACAGCGCCGAACGTGCGCCCATAGCTAATTGAAAAATATGTTCGGACGCCTCGGAATAACGGCTAATCCTGTCTAAGGTTTCAAGGATGTTGAAGCAATGTCTGGCAAGAGGACTTCCATGGATACATGCGGTGAGTGTTGCGATTCCGTTTGATTTTTTTTTCTTCGAACTGTAATCGCTTCTTCGTAATGAGAATCTCTCAAGTATGTCACAAATGACCCATGAGATGTCATTTTCTAGTGATATAAGTTATGATATTTATTGTCGATTGTGATGCGTCATCGGTGAGTCAAGGGCAAGAGTTTTATACGGAGTTGCATATGTAGTTTTTGCATTATGCAGCTGATAAGCCTCTAAATTGGGCATTCTTTCGAGGACATTTTCATTTAAAAAAAATAAGTTTTAATCTTTAAATTACAGAAACCAAGGCATCACAGAATGACCCTTCCAGACGTCCGCGACCTGGATCACTTCTCACGAAAATGACGGAACGTTTCCCAGACATTATATGCCATGCAGTTTCTAGGCAACGTCTTCCTGGAAACGTATGTGTCTCTTTTCAAGGGCAGCCGAATAATTTTATTCTATACCCAAAAGCAAAGGAATCTTGGAATTATCTATCCGTTTGCAGGTGAATGAATCTCCTTGAAAATAGGGAAACTTCGATATTTCAATCAAAGGTAGTAGTCTCCAGTGGTGCTTTTCCTCTCATGGTCTTGACAAGTCGTATTGTGGGCAACTAACATTTATTTTTACCATTAAACGTTTTCCTAATGTAAAATGACGTCTCAAAGAACCAAAGAATGAATTTACGACATAGGAAAAGAACCGGAAGCTGAAAAAATAGGAGGCATTGAACGTTTCCATGCTGACTTTGATCGGCTTTGAGACACGCAGGATGCGATATTCGGACGGAAAAATAATTAGAGCTTCGTTTGTTTCCCCTACAAGTAGCACCTGCGACCAGGTGACCCCCCTTATTGAAGCTGGCTTCCAGCTCAAACTCACCTCTGGAGTCGCTTTCATCGACGTCTCCGCAGCTTACGACACTCTTTGGCGTGAGGCTTTGCTTTTGAAAGTATCGAACATTGTCAGGTGCAAACAGACACTACAGCAACTATCATCCACGTTAAGCAACCGGAGGTTCCGTGTCCATCTGGGAGCACCGTAAGTAGGGCTCGGCTATTAAACAACATGATACCCCAAGGCTCGGTCCTTCCATCAGTCTTTTTCAATATTTATATTAATGACATCCCTACCACTGAATCACGCAAGTTTGGGAACGCTGATGACCTCGCCCTCGCAGTTCAATAGGTAGAGAATAAAAGAAAACCCTAAATCCGATGTTGGCGCACAAAGCCTAACCATCCAACATTTTGTGAACGACTGTCCAATCAGAGTATGCAAACGTTACGTAAACTGCGTCCATTCAGCAGTCCCAAAAGCAATAGCATGGTTAGCTAACCGAGTCATTGAACTTTAATTGTTACGACCCAAAACGATATGCGGAAGAAGAGAGCCTTGTCTTGAAGCTGTGATGCCGTTGAGAAGAGGATATAAAAGAATTGATGATCCTTTGGAATTTCCTTGTCCACCCTAAGGAGGGAGATGCAGCTGCTCCTGCTATTTAATTTTCCTTTCAAAATTATGAAGGAAACTTCCCGATCTGTTTCTACGTATAAATAGGCCGCGTGGCCATATTTGCCCCATAATGTCTCCCGCGTCGAGGGCGGGGCCCCCTGATTGGCCGAAATAAATATAAGCATGATAAAAAAAATAACATATAATTCATGTATTCTGTCATGTTACAAAACGGGGAATAACGTGGAACCAGCAGAAGCAACTCATTCGGATTTTTTACAGGTTCCTTCTCCTTCGTCGTCGGAGTCTTCCTCATCGCTTCGGCTATCCTCCACATCTTTCTGAAAATCGAAAAGAAACTACCGGTAACCAGATACCTCATGCTGGAAATAACATTTAAACATAACATCAACAAGTCAACAAATCAACAAATAACATCTAAAAATATTTGAGCACGAGGTAGAGCAAACCTTGAGAATGGCGGTATTGTAGACGATTCGAAGAATCAGGAAAGTCCAGTAAATGTGAAGAAAAACGAGGCACCAGAGAAGCATGACAAGAACGTTTAGGACGAAGCCACTCAAAGGATACCCTCCATCCCAACGGCATAAAGCTCGAGTCGCACTAAGATAGACATTTAAGATCATTTTAGATATAAGTTGCAAAACCTCCTTTATATATGTCCGTAGACCAAGTGACTCATGCAACTTTTCGTCAGCCATGTGGAGAAAGATTCACCTTCGATCTGCATTTTCGACTACTCTGTCGTCTTGGGTTGAATGTTTTTCTATGTAGCGGAGGGCGCACGGTATCAATTTGCCATTCAGAAGACGAGATTAAATATATTTCCACTGTTGCATAACTTGTTCTGTCTCTACGCACTAACCATAGATTCGAAAGTGCTGAATCTTCCTGATTGGGATTTTCAGATCGATTGTAATCGCTGCGAATTTATGTAGCAGAATCCAAGATGGTCAGGCGATGTTGGACACAGCAGTTTATTGTGTCCGTAAGGAACTAGGCATATGCCCAAGCATGAGGACTAAGGATGGCTGAAGCGCCCTCACCTGACGTTGACGTAGAACGGGAAGTATATTATTCTAGTGAAGATCCATGTCACTAGAAACATCAGGAAGACTTTCTGAACAGATGCATTCGATCTCCGGAAGTATCTCAGCAGTTTCGCCAACTGAAATATTTTTGTGAGGCTGAATGAGTTTTGGCTTCAATAAACTTACAAATTCGGGAATAGGATGCCCGTTGTATGCAGGAATGTTCTGAAAGTTTTGTTCATCAGTCAAATCTTAAAAAAAAACTATGTTTACTAGCTGCGAAATCAATCAAATGCATGCGCTGGAGCACCGACGGAGCTATGGCAACAGATTCATCTCGTTCCAGGAGCCGCAGATAGAAAAGGACAGAAACATTTTTTAAATTAAAATATTGAAATAGGTTCTTTAACTTAGTAATGCAAGCAAATGGAATTTAAATATCTGAATACGTAAGGCGAAAGCGTCGAAAATATTTTCGACAATCAATGCAGAATCTACAGCTGTATAATCTCCGGGGACGGTTGTCAGACCTCAAGGAAGACATCAGCGCAGTCGTGGACGATAAGGACGAGGGTGCCAATCCGGATGGCGCCAACTATCCAGGATCCCATCAAGAGGACGATGGTGACCACGTGGTGGGTCATCTGTGCCAGGAAGTCTTTCCTCTTCACGTCGAATACCAGAGTCAGGGACAGGGATAAGTAGAATCCTATTTCTAGCATGTAGTAACGCCTCACTTCCAAAGTCACAGCCTACAACGAATAATGAATAATGTTTTCTGTGATGTCAATGAGAAATTCCAGCATCACACTGAAAAGCACTTTCTTCCCAGTGCATAATGGCCTTCAGGCCTCTGCACAGTTAGGCAATCATGAATATTACATTTTCAAAAGCATGTTTTTCCATTTGTCGCTGTCGAGTCTTTGCCTTCAAGGGAAGCATTCGATACTTTTTTTTAGGTCTCCGAGATAATGCCGTTCAGAGCCATGTTAGATCAGTAATTAGCCAGGAAGACCTCTATGCATATACATGTTGGAATTAGTGTTGAGTTTCCTATCAATTTTTTTCCATCAATAATCACTTCACCACAATAAGAAACGCCCAAGCATGTCACAAATGACCCATGAGTAGTCCTTTTCTTCAGAAAACACTAAATACTAGTTATTCGCGATGTGTCATCGGTGAGTCATAGGCAATAATTGCTATCCAGGGCATTGTGTGACTAATGAAACTCTAAATTGGGCATTGTTTCAAAGTTAATTGCATTTTCTGAATATAAGAGGTATTATGATACCAATGAAATTTCCGTTTCCCAATTTCTGCTTTTTTTTACATTTCCCGTTCATTAAGTTCCGACTTTCCTATTGTCTGAGATAATGTGTAACTCTTTGTGCTTACCTCGAATGTGCAAATTATATACTTAAGTCCTAGTTTTAATTCACAGAAACCAAGACAGAAGCAGCTTGACAGCTGGAGGTATCTCTTAGTCTTGACGTACTCGATTCGTCGATTTCGTCTACTACTTCACATGGCCTTCGATGCAGTAAAAATGAGGTAGGTGCCTCTTTTTCAAGGGCATCGAAAGAGTACTTCCCCATACCCGAAATAATCGGAATTATGGGATGGACTTTTCGTGTAAAGGGGTCGCGAATTTCCTTCGCAATGACGAAACTTTGCATTGCAGTAAGGGGTATTATATCCCAAGGTTGATGTTCCTTCGCAGCCTGAGTAAGTTAAGTTAGACCAAGTAACCTTATTTTTAGGATTGAACATTTATTATGGCGTGGATTCGCCACTCAAAGAACTACAAACTACATTTCTACAAGCGGAGATTGAAACTAAAAGGACGGTTGCCTAGAGCAGAAAGTCTATTTTGCCCTTAAAGGATTAAACTCGATTCGTCATGATTGCTAGACTGTCTGTTCAATCTCTTGCGGAATGCAAATGGTATGCATTATAATTAACACATTTTAAAGTAGCTGCCTTCTGAGGATCTCTCGATTTATTTTTGACAGAACTTCAATAGGCATGTGAAAGGGAAAGGTGAAGAAAGGAAGGGCATATGAAATTCCCATAAATTGTATCGACCTTCCCAACAAACTTCCTCCTAGACTGAACTTTTTCTTTCGAAAATAAGTACTCGTTATTTATGGTTAAAAAGTCACTGGAGCAAATTATGAATAATGCTGATATAGAAAAATTAGAAAGTCTGCGGTATTTCATGCATGAAATAACGTCGCAATGTTTTAAATCATATCCTACTTGACATGTGAAAAGAAGTATGTTACAAGAAGTGGAAGAATAAAATTTCATAGTCAAAATTTCTTCTATATAAATCGTATATATATTTCTGTGTGTGTCATGTTAGATTTTGATTAATTTTGTCAGAGACAAAAAATGTGCTGAGATAACGAACTTACGTGAAATGGAATATTCTCGAAGCATAATTCCACATCCCTCAGCCAGGATTTGTCTGACATTGTCCAGATCCCGTACAGGAAAAGAAAGCTGTACGTCACGAACCGGAAGCTGAGGGAAAAAAATTGGGAATGTAAGTTTTGTCGTTCACAGAGGCGATCATTTCATGATTTTAAATTGAAATAAATCGCAGCCTATAAAAAACTGAAGTCTGAAAGTATTGCTAGATTTTATGCATTCCATACATGTTTAATGTAAGAAACCAGACAAAAATAGTGATGCGACTCACCCAGTTTCTCTAAGTTTCTGCAGTTGAAGTTTCGCTTTCTCGACTCCTTTGTGGCCCTGCTTTGTTTTCGAATTCCATTTCCTGCCGGTCGCTACTGATCCATTATGCTGCTGTACAATGCATAAGATCATTGTAGCATACGATGAACTATGATCGAAATCATTAACGAAGCAAGCTTTGGAATTCATCCCACTTACAATATGACCATTGACCTTTCCCATCACGTCTTTCTTCAACAGAGCGACGACGGAAAACATTGGTACAGTTGCTTTTGCCAGAGGGTCCAGAACAAATCTAGAAATGAACGGAGGAATCAAGATAGAGATTGGATGCAAAAGAGAAGAGGTCATGATTAATATCTGAAACTGACGTTTCCAGGAAAATTCGGAAGATTAGGAAAGAGATCGAGATCGGGAAAATGTAGAGAAGATCCTGGAATTCCGGCATGGGTCTTCCTGGCTTGGACTTCATGTCTTCCCATGTCACATTCCTTGGCAACCAAAACTCCTCCTTCCATACTACAGCTTGAATCCTTTCCAGCGCCTCCATTGATTCTATAAAAGAATTCTCTTTTGATATTTAATACTTCGAGAAAAAAATTACTCTTATTCATCTCCAGCGTGTTTCCAATTTAAGACTAAAGGCATTCAACGGTTTTTTCGCTTGATATCGGATGAAGACAATATTGGATAAATTTAATTCCAGCATCAAACTTTTTCAAAATGACAAAGAAGAAAAGCAGGTTTTTACTCACCCAGAACTCTTGGATTGATTATAGAGAGAAGAGAAGTGGAGCTCCAACTGCTCATGTATACGTAGGTGAGAATGGGGCAGAAGGAGTCCTCTCATTGAAATATAAGACGTGGACATTCTTATCATGATGATGATGCTCATTATGCCAGGGTCGCATTTATGTCCAGGTGTTTTCTCCGGAAGAACGTGCGCAGGCGCCCCCCAACCTCACTCGACAGACACTGAAGCAAAATATGCTCGATAATTATCCAATATGCGCTAGTCATTCTTTCCGATATATGCTACGGTTCAGGTGAAATAAGTGTAGTTATCTTTACTGAATTTCTTTGGATGAACTAAAATTAAAGTATTGTTAAATTTTCAGTTTTTCATTGCTATTCATCTTTCATCGGGTCCTAATCGGAAGAAATTGTGCCATCTCCTGGTTCAAGTTTTCTGAGGGTCTCCCTTATGCTAACATAATTGATCGCCTGCTCTGTTTTTATAGCACAGCTGTCCATGGAACTTTTAATGGACAAATTTATCCGTCCCTCTCATCCGATTGGAGCTTTTCATTCTCTTGTCATATTACTTTCAGCATTAGGAGCAACAGGGAAATACCCACAATAAGTCGCTTAACTGCCCCACAAATACTCTCTGTCACTATATGTCAAAAGTAGATACTTGAGGCGACTGGGGACCAATTTAGGAAAAAGCGTCCTCCAACATACAATATGCTCTGTTGAGGGGGAGAATATCCAGCAGTCGTATTTTTCCTGCGATCTGCGACTAGAAATCTACTTATGCACCCTGTCATGGCTTTATCTTAATGAAGCAACAAATTTTTATGGGGGAAAGTGCCATCGGGGAAATTTTGGCCGCATTGGTATGTACCTTAAAAAATGAAGTTTTTCTTAGGATGAGTACCCTAAGAACTACTTATGCACCAAATTTCAGCTGTCTATGTATGCCCGTTTCAGTGGAGCAAAATGTTTTGCGAAAAATTATCCTGCAACAAATGTGCTCCAAGAACAAATACAAGGAAAGTGAGACTTTTCCATGATCTCAACACCCCAAGAGTTGCTGGAGTACAATGTTCCAGTTTTCTATCATACTTGTATAAAAGACCTAATGAGCGTGATTCATTAACAATGGTCTGTTATTAGGTTCTATAAGAGTCCTTGAATAATAGTCGGGGAGCCATGACAAGCCCATGTTTCATAAAAGTCACTCGAATCCTGTATATTAAAAACGTAATGAAGGTCCGTGCGTATGAAGCCTCCGACGCTTGGGCCTAGTATGTGTTACGTCCACAAGTCCATGTGCGCATGAGCGGCGTCTTCTGCCTGCCTCGGGGTGTACGTCTCCCTCCCAGGGGCTCGCGCATTTTTCCGGCCGTTGCGACTGTCGGATCTATTCCCGAGAATGTAATAGAGCGATGGTGGGGGGGAAGAGTTCGGACGGCATAAGAAGACTGAAAAAGGAAATTGAGTGGCCTGGAATCGAACCCTAGGCCTATTAAGATTACCAATTTTGCGTGTTACCACTACACCATGGAACCAATCTCCTTGATGTTTCTTTCCATGTCATCCCTAACACTACAACGGGAGAGAGAGGCATTCCACGCACCCTCCTCCCCCCCCCTACATAGGGGGTGTTCACACCTCCGATATGGTCTTTTCCGCGGTAACGTGTAAAACGTCCCCGCATATTATACTTGGAATCCCCCTTCATCCCTGGAGGAGGGATGGCTTCCTCGCCGGGATGAGATCTCCGCCTATATACTGGGTGAGACAGGAAAACGCGCCACTTTTTGCAAGCCTTGGGCATTTATTGGATCGCATATATCATTGGGATTTTTTAAATTACGATGTCAATGTATCCTCTAATCTTCCTGAAAGCCTCGTTCATTTATCTCCAGCCATTTTTCTAATTTCACTAAAGTAACTCAACTCAACCTTTCGGCGGGATCTCGCTTCAGTTCTCCTTGGTCTATCGGCGAGGATGGACTGCGAAAGAGAGAAGTTGCTACTGTCTGGTATCTTAAGAAATTATGGGGTGAAGCAGGAATCGTGCGATCGACATCACAAGTCGAGATTCTCCCAAAAGAAAAGGCAATTGCAGGAATCAGAATGGGAAAACCGACACCTTCTTCATCAACCCGAACGAAGGCGAACACCGCCGTTTACGTCGAGGTGCTCGAGAAAGAATTGCAGGACATTTTACACACCGAATGACCTCCGAAATCCCCTGAAATTAATCCCCGTAAGAAATTTTCGCATTTCGACCCCCTCAAGCAAGGTATCACTCGAGCTTGGGAATTGGTGTCCAATGACGTCATGCGAAAGTATATTCTCCAATACTTCAAGTGAAGGTTATGGCCGGAAAATGAGCATGTTTAAAAAAAAATAACTTAAGTAGCTCTCGTAAAATCATTAATTCGGGAAAATGTATTCATGAAAGTAAACGAGACTCTTGGAATGTTCAGGGGATAGATTGAAGTAATTAGCAAAAAAAGTATGTCATTATGTCTGCCATCAATCAAACGTCAAAGAGTTTCAAAGAGCGGCGGGATCCCGACCCCTTTATCAATCGGAACCCCGTCCTTCCCGCACTAACGCTGCCAGCGGCGGGCCCTACGAAGAAACCTTACATACCGAAATACATAGACTCAAGATCTATAGGAAACGGGTAGGAGCCTGGGAAGGCCGAAAGGTGCGCTGACATATTGGGTCATGCGAGTCCGAGCTTCGAAGTGGTAATGGGTGGAGTGGCTGTAGTGCTCGAGTCGTGGTGTTGGCTGATGTGTACGCCTCACAGTACCGGGGACCAATTGGTCCATGTACTCTCATGAACCGAAGTCCGAAAAAATATGGTCTGCCGTATGCGGCCAGGTGCAACTCGATTGGCATCGTTGTTCCTTTAAAAGAAAATCCCTCCGATTTCTGATGTTGAGCTGTGTTGTGAAATTTTGTCGTCGCTGTCTCTTAGGAAACCGAATTCTTGATTATGTGAAATAAAATTTTTTTGCAATGAAATATCTTTAAAAAATTAGTTTGCGAGTAACGCTGCAACGGGCAGTCTAGTGTTAATATAATACACAGCCACATTGACAAGTTAACTGGACGGGACCGTAGGTGGCTTTTTCAATTCAGGAGGGGAGTCCCACGAAATATTACATGTATCCCAATTTCTCGTGGTAAGCAGATTGAATATCAAAACGCGTTTACGTGAGTCTGATGGCTATCGCTTTCGGAGCTCACACCTTTGAAATGAAGTGGTAAAAATGTATGTATTTTATACATTTTTTAATGTTTCAACATGGCCTTTCCAGATAATGTTACTTCAAAGCATATATTATTGTGAACCACATTTAATTTTTTCTTTTCTTCGCGTGAACTCTCTCATACTACTCCTAATACTTCTGTCAGTTTTAACGTCTTTAAATTAAATTGTTTAAATTGCAGAAACGCAAAAGGTTCCTTGTTGCGCAATATAAATTATGGCATAAGAAGCACCAGGTGGCCATTCGCGTTGCGTCGCGTAATTCGCTTTTGAGGCCAGTTGTGCCAGCTCACGGCGGATACACTCTTCTTTGCATAAAGCGCAATAGCAGTGCTAATGCGTCCTATTGACTGAGAGTTCAAAAATTGATTATTCTTTGTATGTATTTCGCTCTTATATATATACTTTTTCGCTCGGGAGATGTCACCCATGAGACATTTTCGTTGCAAATAGCATCGGTAGGTCTTGTTTCATGTCTGTCCGATGTAATGAAAAAATGCACGAGTGAAAAGTTTTCAGATACTTTATGACTTTTTTTTTAGTTCGTGAAATTCAAACATTCAACTCTCAGGGACGAAACAGCGCATGCGTCTTATGAATTTTAACCAACAAACTTTTTCCCGCCACGGATAGGCGGCAATAAATTGTGGTTCGTTGAAAATTTAATGCAGCTTAATTCAGCTACGAGTTTAATTGCTGTGATAGTGACTTCCTCCATCGCAGATTATGAGGCTGGTCATGCTGACAGGAACATCGAAGGGAGACATGGTCGCATCTCGTTTCGATTCTTTTACTCCTGACGTCTCTTTCATCGTTGGAGTCCTCGTCATCGCTTCGGCTGTCATCTACATTTTTCTGAAAATTGAAAAGAAACTGCTCGAGTCCCAAGACGCCAAGTCGGTGAAAGCAAAATTCACTTTCGTGAAGGATGAAGAGAAGCTGACCTTGAGGATGGCGGTATTGTGGACGATCCGAAGAATGAGAGCAGTCCAGTGGAGATGGAGGCCGAGGAGGGACCAGAGAAGGGGGGAAAAGCAAAATTCACTTTCGTGAAGGATGAAGAGAAGCTGACCTTGAGGATGGCGGTATTGTGGACGATCCGAAGAATGAGAGCAGTCCAGTGGAGATGGAGGCCGAGGAGGGACCAGAGAAGGGGGGTGATAACATTGGAGGCGAAGCAGTTCCAGAGATCACGGTCAAGCAGAGCTTGAGTTGCCGTAAGCAATAGATTTTATTTATTTATCACAGGGCATTGCTAGAGAGGTAATTAGGTAATTAGAAAGGTAACATGGAATTGCGTGGTGTTGATGTAGAGTGGGAATTAAATCATTCTGGTGACGATTCACTTTACTAAAGACAACACGAACACTTTCTGAACGGCCCCATTGGATCTCTTAAAATACCTCAGCAGTTTCACCAGCCGAAAAATAAATGCATTACAAGTAGGAGGCTTACAGAAAAAGTTAATTGTCCTTTCTTCGAAAAAGTAATGTGACATTCGAAATTTCCTAAAATCAATCCAATTTAAAAATAAATTCAATAAATTAAATTGTTTTAATGTAATGCAAAATGGATGATGGATGAAGGCGAACAAAAGGTGATATGGCAGTATCTGAAAGAAAAGGTATTGCTAGCAAGATTTGAAAAGCTTTGAAAAACATCAAGTTTTAACAGAAATTCATGGACAAGTCTTTCCTCTCTAGTAAGCAAAACTAGTAACTAAAAAAACTCCATTGCAAGCAGACGTTTCCACCAAGTATGTCGTGATTTTTCCCCAAGAACAGGAAAGAAATTCCATTTGTGGGGATATCCTACAGAAAATGTTCTGTTTTTCGACTTCTCTTTATTTTTTCCCCCATAGAGTTCAAG